CTACTCTATGTAGTTGGATCTAAGGACGGGTTAAACTCTAATCTAAACTATATCTTCAATTCCTTATATAGCTCGATTCGACTACTCTGTCAATCGCTGAAACTCGAGAAGAAATTATTGGGGTTTTAAAATGTGTATTGACGTTACACAAAAAGACAGACACACATAATTAATATGCCTCACCAACAAGTGGTCCATAGTTAATTTTAACATGATAATTCAATTGAATAATTAAAAATTCAAATATGTATCTAGGTTTTGATGTTTGAGGGAACATCCAATTTATATGCATCAATTTTTTTATTTTCCATCATTTTTTTATTTATTATTTAATTAATACTTATATATTATATATTTATTTTCTTACCGGTTTATTTATTACTTTATTCAGTTATTCATTTATTTTTTATTGATATGTTTAATTATATTTACATTTTATTTAATTATTTAGTATTTTATTTAATCATTTATCTGTTAAGATTTTATTCATTCATTCGTTTAATTATTTATTTATTAATTTATATATGACACTATTTTTTATTCACGGTATTATATAATATTTTTCATTTACTTATTAAACTATTTATTTATTAATTTATTTATTTATTGCTGATTTATTCTTTATTTATGTATTACTTTTCTATTTAGCTATTTATTTATTTATTATATATATTTTTATTTATATAATCATATATTCATTTATCAATGTATTATTTATTTATTCACTAAGTTTTTATTATTATTTATGTATCTGTTTATTTCTTCATTTATATATTTATTGATTTAATTATTTATTTAATCAATTGTATTTATTTTTTACTCATTCATTCATTTATATATTAATTTATGCACTTACACATTCATTTTTTACTTATTTATTTATCAGAAATCTACTGACAATTGAATCGGAAATGAGACTACAATCGTTCAAGTAGAAAACCGACAAAGATGTAGTTTAGTATACATGCATGTCGTATATGTATACAAAGTTTAAAAGATTTGGGTGCGTATGAATCAGTTTTTAATATAAATGAAAATAGATAGCCCTGAAGTTGTAAATATAAACATTGATTGTGTGCAAAATAAGCTTTTCATAAATATGTTAAATGTATCAGTTTGAGAAAGTAGTATTTCAATGTCATATATCCAACACATTATTACTATTCGATCCCAGATGTAATTCTTTTCGTAAAAGTGTGTCATGGACAATAAAATATTCTATTATTTTACCGATCTGTGTACCTTGAAAAATAGATGGCTATATTATATTATTTGAACATCTTTGTTTAGTATGAAAATAAGGCATCTTTACCCTGCAGCTGTCTCATTTGCAATTTATTCCTTAAATAAAATCATATACAAGTGTATGTATACACATAAGTGAAGAAACACAGGAACACTGTAAGATTTACGTGAATGACAAAAGGAGATTTAGTTTAGGTTTGAGATCATTTTATTATCAAATTGCCTTCGTCGTCATCACAGTGGCCGAATAAGGCAAGATCGGAGAAAAATAAATTCACTTCACATTCAAAAAGATTTGCTAAATTGAAAAATCAAATACAACTTCATGTACACACAAATTCGATAAAACACAGGAATAGTGTGAGATGTATCCAAATCACGAAAGGATCGGAGATGCAAGGTCTGGGATTCTTTTATTATCACTCAATCTTCATCGGCGTAAGAGTTGTCCAATAAGGCAAGATCGGGAAAAAATAAATTGACTTAGCATTAGATTTTTTTTGCTAAATTGAAAAACCATGAAATCTAATGAAGTAGAAGTGCATGTACACACAAAACTGATAAAACTACGGAATAGTATGAGATATACCCAAATCACGAAAGAAGATGTAAGGTTTGAGTTCCTTTGATGATCACTCGGCCTTCGTACATACGGTCGAATTGTATGTCTGACGAGAATTGCAATGAATATTGAGTATGTATTTTGAATAGGATAAGAACAAGGCCGGGTGAGATGTGGTAGTGTGTATTAAATAGGAAGGACAACAGATTGACGACAACAGAAAGGTCATCGGAGAACCGATAGACTCTGAAGTCTGCCGAAGCGCAAATGATTTAGCCGCAGGATAAAGACACCTTATATAGGCGGTTTAGGTTAGGGTTGTTGGGAAGACTTAAATGGTTTATAATCGGACTGGATTATAAGCTAATGGGCCATGTATAAAAATTGGGATAAACTTCTCAATATGGATTGTTGGGCAAAAATGTGTCTTATATATATATATATAAACCCGGTCAGTAAACCACCAAAATCGGTGGGGTAAATGTCAGCTCTTTATTGTTATTATTATATATTATATTATTATTGTAATTACTATTATAACTATATAATTAGTTATTATTAATTTAATTTGTAATACAATATTAAAATTATGATTCTTTTGTGATTATAAGAAGTATTAAATGTCTTTTGTCTTGTTCTCATACAAAGTTTAAATCATATAGTTTCGAACGGCGTTGGAATGGGTTCATAATGGGTGTGGTTGGTCCCGGTAGAACCTCGGTATCATTACTGGAAGATAAAAAGGAAGGATGATGAAATGACATCTTTTTCATCATCCAATCGACGATCAAGATACCGCCTTTATCCCATTTTCACTTGATTCAATGTTAGTGCATGGTAGAATAATTTTCACATTCAAAATAATTTCATATTAAAAATGTCATTGGTAAAAGTTGTTTACTACTCTCTCGGTCCCATAGAGAGGTTCCTCATTCGGTTTACGATGTTTGATTGACAATAAACCAACTTGATCCTTATTCACACTCCTATTATTTTAATAAATAAAATTTATATATTCAGAAACTACATTAAACCTGCTACAAAGCCTGATAAAAAATGTAAATTTAATATAAAAAACTGGTATAGAAAGCAAAAGCTTAAGAATTATTTAAGTTTGGAACCTTTGAATGGGACGGAAGTATTATTAATCAAGAAAAATGTAAAATCTTTTTGGACAAGAGTAAGACATAACGGCTGCCTTGAACTTTAATTTGTTAATGTGTTCATACTTGAGATTACGATAATGTAATTCGGTGGGTTCTATATGCATGCAATATGCCCTTTTCTCCCAAAAAGTAACTACGTAATTCAAACCCCCGGGCCCACACCCACACATGTTTAGCACTCCTCATTTCTTCACTCAATACACTCCCCAGACAAACCACCTCTGCATATATGTATATCCATCTTCAGTCTTCTTGGCCGGGAACCAGTGCTGGTAATCAAGGAAAAAGAGAGAGGTTGTACAATCCTGATCGAGATTAAGTGTATTTTTTTTGTTTGAGATGATGAAAAAGATGCCTTCTCCTTGTCCTTCTCTTCCATCTCCTGTCAATGACACTGAGGTTCAACCGGAATCATCCACAGCCATGCCGAATCCGGCCAAACCCGTTGCCAAACGATCCCAGAAACAGAAAAGCGTAGTCCACAGTTCTGATTCTCCGGGGCGTGGGCAAGCCAAGAGAAGCTCCGTCTTCAGAGGCGTAACAAGGTGGACTGTGTGATTGTGTGATGTTTATTTTTTCTAAAATGCTCTGCCAGTGTGTGTTTCACTGAATGCATGACAGACAACTTATGTCTGCATTTTTAACTTTCTTTGTAAAACTTTAGCAGTGTCAAGAGAGGGAGATATGAAGCTCACTATTGGGACAAGAGTGCCAGCAAGAAAAACAGACAAAGTGATTATATATATACCGATCGTTTTCCACTGTTTGCTTCTGTTTTAATCATGAACTATTTTATTTTCCTTGTAAAAGTTTTTTAAGTATATGGGATTTAATGATCTATGTTCCGTTTGCAGTTTCTTATTTTTATACCTTAAGTTGTCACTTGGTTTATGTACTTATCAAGTTTCTTTCTTTTCTCATGATCCTTGACGTCTACAACCTATCTCTATGGTCATATATTAGTTTACTTGGGTAAGCATTTCTTTGAACCAGGAAAGAAAGATATTATTTTTAGTCTTTTCAAAATATACTCATCAGAATTTTGAACTGAACATAGTGATATATGTTTCTGAAATGGAATGAAGGGGCATATGACAGTGAAGAGGCTGCTGCAAGAACCTATGACCTTGTTGCTCTTAAGTACAGGGGGCCAGGGCCAGGCACTGCTCTCAATTTTCCGGTATGGTGTCATTATCATCTTTTTGGTCTATAAAGTATACTCAGTTAGTCAATTACCACGAATAATGGCATATTTTCTGCAGATTGAGACCTACACCAAAGAGCTCGAGGAAATGCAGAATCTGTCGAAGGAGGAGTTTTTAGCCTCACTTAGGCGGCAGAGTACAGGGTTTTGTCGAGGTACTTCGAAGTACCGTGGGGTTTCAAGGTAAACAGACTAAAAATAAAACAATAAAGTGGCATATCGATCTTTAGTTACTCATTATCGGTTTATCGTATTATGTTGGCTTTTAAGAATGTTAGTATCATTACTGATTGAGTTGAACATTTTTTTAAAATAAGAGATGATGCAACTCCTCTTACAACATAGTTGAACATTTGAACTTTCACAGGCACCACCACAGCCGTTGGGAGGCTCGAATTAAATCAACCACAGGGACCAAGTATCTTTACTTGGGAGTTTTTGGTATGCTTTTTTGTTTATCTATCATCTGTAACTTAGTATACTTTATGTTTCTCATAGTTTAGTTTGCATTTTCTAAACTACTTTCCAATTTCTATATGTGTAGCTTTTGAACAACATTTTCTGATTGATTACACTGTTTGAAATAAGTTTTTTATGTAGACCAGGTTCCATTTATTTCTATATCAATCATTTTCTGATCCTAAAAGAAGAGGTAGAAGCATTGACCATTGTGGGCAGCAGTTTTGAGAATAGGACATTTTTTAGTTTGACAAAACTTTGTTTAGCAAAGCTTTGCTTGTTATTCATTTTGAATAAACTAAAAAGGTGGCAAACCGGCAGCTTTAATTTAAGAAACTAAACCATTTTTTGGGACATTGGAAAGAGAAGTGAACATAGAGTATTTACTTATTTGGGGGCAATTGTCAGTTCAGTTTTCATGCATAACAAACTACAGAAGTACTAGCATTTGTTTACACAACAAATAAGAAGAGCAAGATCAGAATTTGTTAAAGAATTTGAGAATGATGGGTTAATAATGACTAACACCAACCTCGTCTTAAAATTAAGAAATTGTACAAAATGAGACTAAAACATAGACTAAACTCCAAAATAGGACTTCAAGTTTTTTATTTCCCAAATAGGACTCCAGATTACACTTTTACCCTTCCTCTAATTAAACCCAATTTGTCCGCCTCTCTCTATTCGGTGCGTGCGATTTCTTCTGCTCAGCTGCGTTTCTCCCATCGACGCCGCTGCTCTCCATGGAAGCCGTTGCTCTCCAGTCTCTATTCTTTTCCAAGTTCGCCATTGAAGTCAAGAATAATTTCAATCCAGCCAATTGATTCACTTTAATAATTAAAAACTACAATCTCATTAAGAAGAAGAGGGTTCAATTCCTCCAGATTGGAGCCGTCCTCAAGATTGGAGCCGCTGCAGTTGCTCCACCATGACAGGTGACCTCTTCTTCTTCCTCTTCCTCCTCCTCTTCCTCCTCCTCTTCCTCCTCCTCTTCCTCTTCTTCTTCCTCTTTTTTTTGTCTTCTCCTTCCCATCCTCTTCGAATCTGGGTCCTCTGTTTTCTTCTTTAGATTTCAATTTTTTATTTATTAATTTTGATTAATTTGGAACATCAAAATGCCATAAATTACTCGCAATTAGAAAATTGACACTTTTATGACATAACATTTATCAAGATGATAGTATGTCATGAGACTGACATTGTTCCTCAAAAAACTGACACTCTAAACATGACATTCCTAGTTGTAAAAAATATGAAATTTTTAGATAAAAAACTATGGCAATTTAAGGATGAAAATTCTGACATTATTTGGAAAACGTGTTAAAAACTTTGACATTATTCTGGCAATTTAGGAGGAGGAGGAGGAGGACTTACATGGGGAAAACTGCATTTATCACAGGGCTCGCAAGTGGCGAACAGAAGAAGTGAGTCGCATGGCAATTTTTTAGTAGTCCTATAATGGAGTTTTTCATATGTTTTAGTCCTATTTAAGCAAATCTCTCCTTAAAATTCTATCATAATTAATTATTGATTGCTTAGTAACTGTCATCTATGTTTATGATCATTAATTTATTTACTTGCTTTTAATCACTAATGGATGAAGACACTGAAGAGAAAGCAGCAGCAGCATATGACATTGCAGCAATACAACAGAGAGGGCCAAATGCACTCACGAATTTCGACATCAGCAACTACCCAGATAAGCTCAGGGAAATCCGAGGAGCTCAGTCCAATGCACAGCCGATCGAGGGTGGCGAAAGCAGCCGAGCCCGGGAAGCACAGCAGCTGCCTGATGCCGAAGGTGATCGTCGTCATCCTCTTCTTCACAATAACCGCCCAGCCGAATTTACAGAACTACAACCTACTCAAGTCCTAGGGGAAGCGGATTGTGTTTATTCCTCGGCCTTGAATGCCATAGTTTCAGATGAAGAGGAGTTTTTTAAGTTCTGGATGAAGGCGGCGGTCGATCCATATCCCGTACCTTATGAGTATGAGGCCGTGGATGAAACGGCGGAAGGAGAATCATACTCGCTTGATTGCTTTGATGCTGCTTCGGAATTTTTAAGCAGTTGACCCGCGCGGCCGGTGACCGCTAGATTTGAAATTTGAAGTCATTATTTTATTAATTTATTTACGAATTGTTTAATACGTGCAATAGAACTGAGGCATAATATATAATGTTTCGTGTATGTCACTTTTTACTGTTGTTAGAGTTGTAATTTGTAAAGAAAGAATACATAACTCGAAGAAGATGTTCTTAGTATGATTAAATTGCAAAATTATGCAAAAAATGAAGAAAAATGTTTATATATTATTTTTCATATATACTCCTCATATTTATTTTTTTAGAATTTTAGTGTTACTCCTCATATTTGTTGTTTTTTAGCCTTTTATTTTTTAAAAAAATTTGTTAAACAGGGAGTATTATTTATAATAATAGTTCTCATAATAGTTTCATTGAAAAAACATTATTTATTGTAATAGCTAGTTAGGAACGCAACCGAAATTTGAACATTTCGGAAACCGAAAACTAGCTTGTGATGCTTGAAATTTGATAGAGCAATCATAGAGCAGCCTACATAAACTTTTATCTATACTAGAAGAAATTATTTATGGATGAAAATGATAGAGCAATCATTATAATTATAAACAAAACAAAAAGAAAAAGGCAGAGAAAAAGAAGACTTGTCGCGTGTCTGTATGACTAATGTTAATTACCACATTCCCTCAATATCTTTAGACCGGTCTATAATTGGAGTTTTATTGTCTCACTTGCTTCGATCATTACCCTGGATCATCAAAAATTAAAGAACAAGATGTTATATAGGTAGATATAGAAATGTGATATTAGTGTAAAACTAAGAGACAAATGTTATATATCTCGTGAAATAACACGCACCATTGTGCTCTGCTAATGAGAAGAAACTTTGTACATGAGAAAATGAGTTGTGCTTCCCTAATAATTAATATCTCAAAGCAATAATTGTATGGAATAAGTCAAATGTGGTTTGTATGATAGGTGGCTGGTGTCAAGTTACTTGACTCAAGTATCATCAGATGTATCAGAAAAGAAAGAAACTTGATGATAAGACAATAAATAGTTCATTTTTTTAACAAACTAAGATCATTAAAATAAATCCAAAATCTTTGAAATAAATAAATAAGAAACTTCAAACACAGCCAAGTACCTTGTGATTTGATGGCATCACTGCTGATCTCCCAATTTATTTCTTAAATAAAATCATATACAAGTGTATGTATACACATAAGTGAAGAAACACAGGAACACTATAAGATTTACGGGAATGACAAAAGGAGATTTAATTTAGGTTTGAGATCATTTTATTATCAAATGGCCTTCGTCGTCGTCACAGTGACCGAATAAGGCAAGATCGGAGAAAAATAAATTCACTTCACATTTAAAAAGATTTGCTAAATTGAAAAATCAAATACAACTTCATGTACACACAAAGTACATGAAAATGTTGCTTTTGGTACAATGGTAACATAATGGTTTAGAATTTAAACCATTGTAGATGAGTACATGATATACTCATCGTGGTAAAAACCATTGTACATAAACCATCGTGGTAGACATTCGAGTATTTTTATTGGTAGACATAAAAATACAAAAAAACCATTGTACATAAAAACCATTGATACTTTTTTGGATGACAATTTAAAATAATTTAAATTTAGAATTTAACATACTTTTGGTAGAATTAATCATAAGATTATTGCTACCCACGATGAGTATATCATCCACGTATAAACATAAAATGACATAGCCGTCTACCGTGCTCCTCACATAGACGCATTTGTCACTTTCGTTTATTTTAAAACCATTAATTAACATTGCATGGTCGAACTTTTCGTGCCATTGTTTAGGGGCTTGTTTCAATCCATACAATGATTTAATTAATTTACAAACTTTCTTTTCTTGGCCTGGAACACGAAACCCCTCGGGTTGTTCCATATAGATTTCTTCGTCTATATCGCCATTTAGAAATGCGGTTTTTACGTCCATTTGATGAACTTCCAAATTCCGCAAAGCGGCAATTGCTAGTATCATCCTAATGGAATTTATTCTCGTTACCGGAGAATACGTGTCAAAGTAATCATGGCCCTCACGTTGTTTGTATCCTTTGATTACAAGTCTGGCCTTATACTTTTCAATGGAACCGTCAGGTTTCATTTTACGTTTAAAAATCCACTTGGATCCCAAAGGTTTACTTCCCGGAGGGAGATCAACCAATTCCCATGTATGATTTTTTAGGATAGAGTCCACCTCACTTTTGATGGCTTCTTTCCACATTGGACCTTCGTTAGACGTCACGGCTTCCGTATAAGTCCGTGGTTCATTTTCTACCAAGCATGTTAGAAAATCCGGTTCATTTTCTACCATACATGTTAGAATATTTGAATCGAATTCTACCAAATATGTGAGAAAATCCGGTTCGAAAGATTTTTCAACTCTAGCACGTTTGCTACGTCGGGGTTCAGTTTCTTCACCGGATCCCTCGCTAGTATTTTCCATAGCTACATCAAATGTTCGTTTTGACGTGTTGGGTCCTTCGTTGGACTTGCATGGAAATACGTCTTCAAAGAATGATGCATTCCTTGACTCAGTTATTGTATTTTTATGTACATCCGGATTACTCGAATCGTACACTAAAAACCGATAAGCACTACTATTTTGTGTGTATCCAATAAAAATACAATCCACCGTTTTTGGACCTATTTTTATTTTCTTAGGTGTTGGTACAAGCACCTTAGCAAGACACCCCCACACTTTCAAATATTGATAGGAAGGTCGTCTACCTTTCCACAACTCGTACGGAGTTTTATCATATTTTTTCCGGGGAACCTTATTTAAAAGGTAATTGCTTGTTAAGATCGCTTCGCCCCACATATTATGTGGTAGGCCCGAACTTACTAGCATCGCATTCATCATATCTTTCAATGTGCGATTCTTTCGTTCGGCAACACCGTTTGATTGAGGTGAGTAGGGTGCGGTACGTTCATGTACTATACCCACACTAGCGCAAAAGTCACCAATTGGTGCTTCATACTCACCACCTCGATCACTTCTAACCGTTTTAATCCGTCGATTAAGTTCGTTCTCCACTTCATTCTTATAAAGAACGAATTTATCGATTGCTTCGTGTTTATTTTTTAATAAATAAACATAGCTATAGCGAGTGCTATCATCGATAAAAGTAATAAAATATTTATTACCGCCACGTGTTTGTATTGATTTAAAATCACAAACGTCACTATGAATTAATTCTAGTGGTTCCGTTTTTCTTTCAACCGATTTGAAAGACGTTTTCGTTAGTTTTGCCTCGACACAAACATCACATTTGTGATTCACATCAATTGTGAATTTAGGAATGTGTTCCATGTTAATTAATCTACGTATAGAATTAAAATTAACATGTCCTAGTCTACCATGCCACACATTGGAAGACTCAAGCAAGTAAGCAGAAGAGATTTTATTATTATTATTATCATTAATAGTCATTACATTGAGCTTAAACAACCCATCAACTGCATACCACTTCCCCACATACATTCCCGATTTAGACAAAACTAGTTTGTCCGACTCAAAGACCATGCGGAAGCCATGCTTGTTCAACAAAGAGCCCGAGATCAGGTTTTTGCGTATCTCCGGGACGTACAACACATTGTTGAGAGTCAGCTCCTTGCCCGAAATCATCTTCAGGACCACCTTGCCCATGCCTTCAACCTCGGAATGAGCAAAATTCCCCATCCACACCTTCTCACCGTTTGATGGCTCAAAGGTTGTGAATAGCTCCCGGTTAGAGCAAATATGCCGAGTTGCACCGGTGTCCACGAACCACTCCTTGGAATTGGATCCAACGAGATTGACCTCGGTCACCACGGCCGCAAGAATGATGTCTCCATCCTTTTGCCCACCTTGCACCATGTTGACTTGAGAGTCTTTCTTCTTCCTTGGCGCCTTGCAATCCGAGGACTTGTGTCCATTTTTGTTGCAATTGAAGCATTTTCCATTAAATTTGGGTTTGGAAACGCCTCCCTTGAAACCGAGCTTGCTCTTCCCATTATTTTTATTTTTGGAGCCTTTTGCATGCTCCACCACATTGGCCTTGGCGCCATAAACAATTGGGAGTTTCTCATCGTTCTTCCGGTTATCCTCTTCAATCTGAAGACGGAGGATCAATTGCTCCAAGTTCATTTCCTTTCGCTTATGCTTAAGGTAGTTTTTGAAATCCTTCCAAGCCGGCGGCAACAAATGTATAATTGACGCCACTTGGAACGACTCGCTAACCGTCATTCCTTCATCTCGAATTTCGTTGAATATCATTTGCATTTCTTCAACTTGACTCAAGACCATCTTCGAATCCACCATTTTAAAATCAAGGAATCGACCGACAACAAATTTCTTTGCACCGGCATCCTCGCTCTTATATTTGTGGTCCAAAGCATTCTATAGCTCCTTAGCCGTAACTAATTTGCTATACACGTCGTACAAAGCATCATGCAGCCCGTTCAACACGTAGTTTCGACATAGGAAGTCAGAATGCTTCCAAGCTTCAACCGCGTTGAAAGATTGCGCATCCACCTCACCCCCGGTTACTACCGGCGCATCTTCGGTCAAGAAACGTGCAAGACCGAGAGTAGTGAGATAGAAGAGCATCTTTTGCTGCCACCTCTTGAAGTTTAACACATTAAATTTTTCGGGTTTCTCCACAGAGTTGCTCGGCACGGTCACCATAGGGATAGCCCTTTGGTTAACCAAAGCAGATGCACCGCGTTGTGAACTATTGTTCACCAGAGCTCCGCTTTCAGAGTGATTATCGTTCAAACCGTTCAAAACATTCTGCCCAACGACATTTTCATTTTCTTGAGAAGTCATTCTATGGGTGGTTTCTTCTCAAATAAATGATGCAAGTGCTTCCACTGAGTTATGCTATTGATGTTATTCATCAACTTTAGATATGTTTTTCTCAAATCCAATTATGCTTCTCAACCCATCTATGATGGCACCGTTGATCCACTCTCCTCCAGAACCACCGCCAAAGGAGAAAGAGTAGTACGAGTGCCGTTTAGAATACCTCGTATGTTTCTCTAACCATCTCGGCAATATGAGTTTTAGAGGGCATTGGCTTAGTGGGAAATCCGACTTTGCCCTTGTGGAAAGT